CTCTCTCTGTCAAATAAATAAATAAAATCTTTAAACAACAACAACAACAAAACTACAAAAAAAGTTTATAATAATGTTTAATTCTAGGAGAGAAGAAAGAAAGTAGGGTGGCACTGGGTAGTAGGGATGTATCAGGTATGTCAAAGCTCTATTTTTTAAAATCTACATGACATTTTAAATTATTTATTTATACCTAATCATTTTTTTTTAATCTACTTAGTATTTAATAAAACAAGGAACTTAAGTAGTACAATTCTGCCCCTCTGCATTCACTTGGCTCCCCACTCTTCTCCCCCAATTTTCTACCTGTCATTTAGGACAGAACGATATCCCTATGTCTAGGCTACTTATGTAACATCTTCAAAGGTTTTATTTTATTTACTATGTACTTATGTTTTAGAAGACATGTTCTGCTTCCAGTTTATCTACAAGAGAATGAACACATTATGTTCTAGTAAGATTCTAGTCATTTACTCGACAAACAATTATAGAGCAGATTCTGTGAGGTAACAGAAAGATGAGTAGAAAATGGTCCCAGACTTCAGTGAGTTCACAGCCTAGTAGGGGAGTCACGGCCAGGTGAGTAACCAAAACAGGGAGGCAAGGTTAGCTGTCTGGTCTACTACCCATTAGCTGCATAGCTTAAAGCAAATTCCTTAGGCTTTCTAACCCTGTCTTCATTTATCACATGAAATGCCACCCACCCCAAAGGCAGCCGTAGGAAGCTAAATGAGAGTGGCCAGCATCACCAGCAGCTCAGAACTGTCAGAGCATGAATGGAAGGCAGACGTTAAGCAAACAGGGGGGCTAAAGTAGCTCAATTGTGCCTGCATCTAGGAATATGAACCTAGAGAGAAAAGGCCAGGATTCACCAGCTCTCTGGGCCTGCTGGGATTCAGGGCAGGAGGAGGAAAAAGAGCCCGCAACATAAACATGGAATGGTCTGAGAGGGACGAAGAGAGCTAGCTAGCAGGTTCCAGGAGGGCCAAAAGGACTGAAAGCATGCCCTGGCACTCATGCGAAGGAAGTACCTGAAAATAGCCCTTTTAGGAAGATGTGGGGGAGGGAAGGCGCAGAAGACAGACTGCAAGCAACTAAAGAGTAAATGGGAAACAGTTATTACAGATGGCAAATGTTTCCTATCTTTAAAGAAATCCAGGCGAGAAAGGGAAGATAAATAGCTAGAAAGGGGGGGAAAAAATCCCAAAGATTTTTACTATATTATTAGGCTCAAGTGATGAAAAGCAAGCACAATATACTAAGGGATATGAGCAATTAAGAGATAGTGAGGTAAAACCATGAAATATTTACAAGGAAAAAAAAGGAATACAAATTACTTATTAACTTCATATCACCATCACTGATTTTGTAAAAATTCTCATTCTCTGCACAATCCAGTCTATGCTGATGACAAAAGTTAGATGCAACCTGAACCAAAATAAATAAATTTTTACCATGCCCCTCCCTGCTAACCCTTGAATAAAGATCAACTAGATGCAGGTCTTGGGCAGGTTAACTTGGCCTCTCTGGCCCCCACCTTCCACTTGTGTAAAATGGAGAGTTAGATTAATGATCTCTAAATCCTACATAATTCTGTAAATTCAGGATTTCCTTCTAAGGCATCACTGAGAGGTGGGAGAGCAGCGTCACACCGTTAGAGAGAGAGACTTGCCACCTATCATGGCAACTCATTTCTACCACCAGAGAGTTTTAACTGACAAGCAATAGTTTTCGACATTGAGCCCACATTTCTTCGCCTAAAATCCCCACTTCCTATGTCCTCACAATTGGCTCTTAGTCACACAGCATGAGACTTCCCCTTATTCCCTTCCAGATATTTGGAAATAGCGATCTCGTCTCTAATTCCGGTGTTCTTCCAAGATAAACAGTAACAGAC